CTAGTTAACCTTTAGTCTGTCACATTTAATAATAGTTGAATGATTCAATATAACATTTCCTCATTTAAAAGACCATTTTTGTATCTGATCCAATAACTTTTAAATTATTTAAAAATTATTTAATATTCATCAAATATTATTATTATATATTTTTAAAAAAAATCAATAAATATTATATTTATAATTAGACATCAAACATCTAATTAAAAATTTTAATTGAGAATAATATTTATAATTTATAATTTAATTATTCAGTAAATAGGTTGCACCACAAACTTTTCAAGTTAGATCAATATGAAATTCAAGTTACAAAATTTATTATGTTTTATGGGTTTGGGTCAAATTGTCATCAATAAATAATAGTGTAATTTGAAACATTAAATGTTTGAAAGTTGAACTTGAACCTAAATGATAAGATTGACAAACAAAAATATATTTGTTCTTATAAGAATATATCAATAATTTTATATATACTTGATTATACTCATACTTAATTCAACACAAATTGACTCGAAAATCTAAAGATTGACTTGAACTAAAATTGTTTAATCCGATATTGACCCGACCCGAAATCAATTGATTTGATATTGACTCGACCTAAAAACCAACCGATCCGATAATGATCCGACTCGAAATTCAACATATATGATTTAGACCTGACTCGACTTACCATTGATCCGAATTAAAACTAAACCCGAAATGACCCGACTCAAATCGTCTCAAACCAAAATGACAAGAGCCGAAATGACCCGACTTGAACCCGATTCGAATGATCCGTTAATGTAAGGTAAAGTTCCAACAAGATCTTTTTCAATATGCTTTGCCTCTTGAAGCTAACAATGCGCTAATTAAGGAGAATTTTGATGATGAAATAAAGAATGTCATCTTCAGTTAAGGGAATGACAAAGCCTCGTGTCCTAATGGTTATATTTCTTTGTATTTCAAGGCGGCTTGGTCTATTGTTAGGACTGATTTTATTTCTACTACGAGATTCTTTTTTACTTTTTCATTCTTGTTGTTTTCTTTCAATGCTACACCTTTAGTTCTTGTTCCAAAATCTCAAAATCCTTGTATGGTGAAGGACTTTGGACTTATTTCTTGTTTTTCAGTTGCGTATAAGACCATTACAAGAATCATCATGATGGATAAAGCATCTGTTTTTTTTTTCAGGGATGATTTCATGTGACATTTGTTAAGGGTAGAAGCACTGTTGATAATATACTTTTTTAGCGTAGGAATTGATGAAGGATTATGCAAGAAAGTCTCTTTCAGTAAGTGTGCTCTTAAAGTGAACCTTCAAAAGCGTTTGATAGTTTATCCTGAGATTTTGTACTATCTATTTTGGAGGCTACGAGATTACTGCCTCACTACTGTTAGGTTTTTATTACCTTTAATGGTAGTCTTGTAGGGTTTTTAACCATGCTAGTGGAATTAGACTGAGGATCTCCTCTCCCCCTAATTATTTGACTTAGCCATTAATAATTTTATCTAATTTTCTGGATGTGACTGCAACTGGAGGGATCTTCCAGTTTTATTCCAAATATAAAAAGATAGGATTAACTCAGATGTATTTTGCAGTTGACTTATTTATTTGAGAGGAGAGGAATATAAATCAGTTTAGTGGTTAAATTAGAAATGTAGAAGTTTTATAAAGAAAATTAAGCTTTGTGAAAAAGAAAAATTCTAGTAACACTTGTCGTAGATGAGTACGGTTAATAATGAGTATCATTAAATTATAAAGTAATAAACATATAATTATAAATTAGTTAAAAATCTTAAATTATAATATTTATTAAGCATTATTTTTAGGGTAAATTATACAATTGACCACCTAACTATTTACCCATTTTACTTTAACCACCGATTATTTAATTTTGTCAATCGGGTCACCTAACTATTTAAATCTTGTCAATCAAGCCAATTGCCGTTAAATATTAACGGAGGAGACGATGTGACAGTTAATAAAATTTGTATAATTACACATTTAGTCCTCGTTACTTACACATTCTATTAATTTGGTCTTAACTTTTAATTAATTCAATAAATTTAATCCTCAATATCTAATCAAATGGTACCACATGTCACCAATTGAATGAATAGAAAATGAATTGAATCAATAACTTCTGTTGGTGGGGTTTGAACCCAAGACGTAAGGAGAGAAAGCAAATGCCCCACCCACTGGGATACACTATTCAAATAACAAACCTATCACGACATAATATATATAATTAATGGCAATAAAAAAGGGGAAAGTGACCTAATAAGAACTCCAACATGAAATAATTGAATAATACGATAATATTATATATACACATAAATATTATAACTAATTAATACGTGAATGTATTTTATTTATATTTTAAATTATTTTAATAAAAAAATTAATTTTAATATATTATAATTGAAATATAACAAAGAGCTTCGTTGACTTAGAATTTTCCTGATAGTTGAGGGCTTACGTAGTAAGCATTTTAACTTATGCATTGATTTGTTTATATCCCAGTTAGAGTAAGAATTTTATATTTTATTATTTATTCATTATATATTTGAAGAAAATTTTAGGGGAAACTTGATTTTATTGAATTAGTATATTTTAATATAAAGTTGTTAAATAAAATTAGAATTCAATCGATGCTATAATATTTTAAAATATAAGAGATGACACATTTCAGTTCAATAAAATTAGAATAATGAAGATAAATTATTAATTTAAAATATGTAAAATGATACATTTCAATTATAACATATTAAATTCATTTTTATAATATTTGTCTACATATATTAATTTTTACGTTAAAAGTATCATTAAAATAAAAATATGTTTAATGGTAATTGAGGCCCTCAAATTTTTGGAAAATATAATTCGTGTAGACCCTGAACGTTTTTTTTTGCACTGAAAAAAATTAATCTAACCCTTTAAAGAACTGAATCAAATATTGATTATTATGACACTTATGTGATAGTTCAAAAACTTACATGAGAATCTATAATATTGATGTAACAATTTACGATACTGTTGTGACAATACATGATGGACGATGATGTGGTAGATGAGCTTAATTGATTTTTTTTGACTAAGTTTAATGCATAATTATTTTTAAAAAAGTTTAAGTACTTATTTATTTTAAAAAATAAAAAACTTATTTAAATTAAAAATATAAAATATAAATAATTATAAGATATTTAATACATTAAATATAAAAATGCTGCAAAATTAAATTATTTAAAAAATCAATTTAAGGACTATATTGAGTGTAAAAAAAGTTTAGGGATCATATTATTTTTTACAAAAGTTTGAGTGTTTCAGATACCATTAAGTAAAAAAAATTATTGTCATAAAAATTTGAACCTTAAAAATCTAGATATTATGTTTCCTTATGTTAAGAATTTCTGAAATAATTTTAATGAAGATACTGAAAACATCTTTTTATATTTTTATATTTTTTTTTCATTTTTAGAAACCATTTTCCAATTTTACAACTAATTTTTTTTAAACATTTTCTATTTTCTATGAAAATGAAAATAACATGTATTTTTTTTATAACCAAACGTACCCTTATATTTTTAGAACATAAAATATATTTTAGATCCTTTAATAAATTTCTAGTTGTGCCCCTATTTTAACGTTTGTTCCTTTTGAAATGTATGATTAGAGATGGCCATGTATGGGGATTTATCCATTAAAGTTTCATATAATATTATTAAATTAAAATATAATTTCAATTCGATTAAATATAATTTTTATTTTTACATATTTTTATTAAAATAAAAATAAGTTTTAATTTAATATTATAATTATAGTATATTATAGATTAAATTTTACATTTTTTTAAAAATTAATTAATATTATATAAATGTAATAAAATATTTATATAATTATTTTAATACGAAATGGGATAAAAAAATTTAAACTCGAATCATAATTAATTTAATAAACCTAAAAACCAAAAACTGACTCATCCAACTTAAAATTTAAATTTTATTAAAAAATGATAATATGATAAATACAACCTTTTATCCCAATGTATGAATTGTTATGCTTTATTTTTCTTATTTTGGATTGCTGCGGGCTGTGGCATTTTGACAGCTTACGTCTTGCATTGCTTTTGACACTAATAATTAAGCTCTTTATTGTCGAGAAAAAAAATATCCATAGAATGGGTTCAAAAACAAACCAAAATGCTCCACGACATATCTGAGGCCCATTCTTTTCATCGAACCATGTACCGTCAAGCATGAAGCAGCCACCTTGGGTTGTTATACTCTCATGTATATCTAGGAATCAACCAAACTGTAAGAAACTTTAAGCACGAAAGAAAAGCCGAAGGGTCAATCAAGCAGAGCAAGGCGTTTGTTGATGGAGAGTCTAATGCAGGCGCCTTATGCTGCTACGGTGCGGCTCACGTTGAGTTCTTTGGAGCGCAATTTGTTGCCTGATGCTGTTATAAGGAGGTTGACTCGGTTTCTCTTGGCTAGTCGTCTTGGCTCTGGTTATAGACCCTCTACTGAACTCCAACTCTCTGACCTCCTTCACTTTTCTCATTGTATGTAATCGTTCTTGGATAGATGTTATCTCTTTTTCTATTTGATTCAGTTTCACTTAATTATGGTTGTTGCTTTGTAGCCTTAAGGGAGATGCCCATAGCTATCGAAATTCGAAATAGATGAGCCTAAAACTCAACATTACGAGTTGCCAACCTCTTTCTTCAAGTTGGTTTTGGGGAAGAATTTCAAATACAGGTTTTCTGTTTCCTCTCTTTCACGTTCATCATGTTGAAAGCGTTTGATTTTGTGGTACTGTTCTTGTGGGGTGACATATACTTCTCTTTTTCCACCTTTTATGGAACGAAGCAGTTGTTGTTACTTTTCTGATGGGTCGACAAGTTTGGACGACACCGAGGAAGCAATGTTGGAACTTTACTGTGAAAGGTCCCGATTAAATGATGGTCACTCGGTTCTTGATATCGGCTGTGGATGGGGTTCACTTTCTCTTTACATCTCCCAAAAATACCCCAACTGCAAGGTTACAGGGATTTGTAATTCCGGCACACAAAAAGCTTTTATAGAGGAGCAATGCCGGTAATGCTCTCAACTTGGTAAAGGAAAGTAATACTCCATGTTAATCACTTTGATTTTTGTTACCCTTGATAGGGATGGAGAATTACAGAATGTGGAGATCATTGTTGCAGACATAAGCACGTTTGAAATGGGGGCGTCATACGATAGGATATATTCCATTGGAATGTTTGAGGTGGATTGTTTTTGTTTTCAGGCAGTTGTCGCATATGTTCAATGTTGATAGTTTAAAAATCAGTAGTGTCTTCTTTTAACAGCATATGAAGAACTACGAGGATCTTCTGAAGAAGATATCGAAATGGATGAAACAGGATAGTCTTCTTTTTGTTGATTATTTCTGCCATAAAGCATTTGCTCACCACTTTGAGGTATGCATATAAACTGATTGGCATCATTGTCATTGATAGCTGTGCTTTAATATTTAAATTTAATGCATTGTCCATGTCATTTTTAGTTCATCGATATATCATTTTCAAAAGGTGTAATTATATGATTTGACCTTTAAACTTAACATATTCTCTCAAGTTTATACTTCTGTTTGGACATCTTATTATTTTCAAAAGATTAAACTATACACTATCTGAACACCTAAAATTTTAAAGGTTTCATCATTTTTTTGGGTTAGAAATCAGTAATCAATTCATGTTTGACACGTGGACTGGTTTTTTAATTTTCTTTAATTTTAAAAAAGATAAAATTTATAAAAAAAATCTATTCTTTTTATTTTCATGAAATATTCATAGAAATATTTAAAATCCTAATTCTCTACTTAAGTTTAGAGATTTAGGAAATTTAAGTGATAAAAGGAAAATGATTGATACTGGAAGCCAAATGATGGGTGGATGAATGTTCGACGAGAGTGGACTTTGGGATTAAAGATTTGAGTTTGTGGGATTTAATGATATAAAGTCTATGGAGATTTAATAATTTAGGGGATTGAGATGATGACAAGGAGAATGATCGATGGTGGTAGTTTGGTGATGGGTGTGTGAGCATTTTATGGTGGCAACGATGGTCAGCGACTATAATAGGCTTTGAAATTTTAGTATTGATAATTTATAGATTTAAAGTTTAGGGAAAATCTGAGATTCAAGTTTGGAGATTTAAGTTTAAGAATTTAAAAGATTGGACGACGACAAGGGGATAGCCGACAGTGGTGGTCTGACAATAAGTATGTGACATTCGATGACAATGATGACAATAATTAACTTTGAGATTAAAGATTTTAAGATTTTATTTTTATTTTTTTAAATTAATAATTGTAAGTTTTTTTATTAAATTTATAAACGATACACATTACGATTTGAGTGACTTTTTAATGACCGACAAAATTAACTTTAAGATAATAACTTTAAAAATATTAACTAAACAAACTTTAAACATATAAAATTATAAGAATTATTTTTTCTTTATTTTAACTAATTAAGCTAATTTTAAAATATGTGACATGTGAGCTAAGCAATTCATGAAAATAATAATGTCACACACAAAGTCAGCATGATATCATCATTATCTAAAAATAATAAAAATTATATAAAAATAAAAATTATTATAAAAAATATATATTAAAATTATAAATCTACATTTTTAATTCACCTACATTAATCAGTTCATTGGCCGTTCATGACATTGATTTTTTTTATAAAGCTGTATATTTTTAAAGTTTTTTTTAAATATATATATATATATATATATTTAAAATTTACAAAATTATTTGTATATTATTTAAAATTTCAATATATATATATTCATTAGATAAAAGTATCTAGTTTTTTTCTACAATTTGATTTTTTTCCTATTTTTTTATAATTTTTTAATTCTATTTTCCGTTTATGTAATTATATATTATGAATAGCTCAATACTTTGAACATATATTTTTTTTTTAATTTTCATTGTTTTTTAAGAAATATGTTTTTCTTATACTTTTTTAGGATATTTACTTTTTTTTATTTTTTTATAAAATATACAGTTAAAATTTCTAGATTTTTTAAAATATTATATATTTTGTATTATTTTATATTTTTAAGAAATCTATATTTAACATTTTTTATATATTTATTTAAAAAAACTTATATATATATATATGTGAATTTTTAACAATTTTATAATTTTTGGGATAATGTTTTGTGATGGCGATTTTTCCCAAAAATCACACGGTGATCGGTATATATACCGATCTAACACCGGTCATATTATATTTCCCGGTCTAACACCTGTAGCAGTAAAGCGCGCTCCCTGAACCGCGCTATATGCTGACTGGGTTACACGTGGGGTATAGCGCGCCCCCTGCTCCGCGCTATACGCCACGTAGGGATATAGTGCAGATCAGGGGCCGCGCTATACGCTGTACCAAAATTATATTTAATACGGTCCCTGATCCGCGCTATATAATAATTACATATAACGCGGTGCAGGTATCGCGCCTTATATGTTTATAAATACCTCCGGTTCTCGCATCTCTCCTCACATCTCCTCGCATCTCTCATCTCTTATAAATTAATACAACAATTTCGTCAACGAGTAATAATTCTGGCAATCTTCTTATATTTGATTTAGAAGTTCGTGCGATTTTTTGCTATAAGGTAATTTTGTTAAAATTTTTTAATTATACTTATTGTTTATTATCATTATTTGAAAAAATATTATACTAATTATTTTTAATTAATTTTTATGTTTGTAAAATTGAAAAGCGGGAGCATACGTCGAAATAGTTTTGCGGTGCAGGTAATAATATAAAATTATATTATTTAAATTATTTACGTTGATGTGTAAAAAAATTTTTGTGTTATATTTTCGTTCATATATAATTTATTTAATCAGGTTTGTTTAAGTTATTTTTTTTTGCAGATATAATATTGCCGCACTTTTAAACTCAAAGAATGGCGTGACTTTCAGCTATTGTTTATTATGATAGTGAAATTCGAGAAGATGAAACCGGCGTTGTTTTCGTATCAAATGAGCATGTTAAAATATCATTCAAGAGAAACAAACTCTTGAGGAGCTGATAACGAAGATTTCGAGGAAGATTCATGTTGGAAGTAACAGAAGAATGTCGTCGTTGCAGTACAGATTTCCAACATCATTATTGCCATTAACTTATACAGCGTTCGAAATTTCGAACAATGATGATGTTCAAATGATGGTTGAAGCTCAAAGTAATTATTCAGACGCCGCTATTGAGATGTATGCATATTTTGTTCAAGTGCGTGCTGTTCGGGGTCAATCTTTAAGCTCACACTATGGGCTGGCTGAACAAGTTGACAGCCCGACTATAGTAATGTGTAATGATTTTAATGCCATAATGGGGAGATATTCATCCGCAACTCCTTACGATATGTACCGAGGTGGGTCCACAAACAATCTGTATGGCAACACCGCGTCCAGTTCAAGGGGAAGTCATTCATCTGCAAATTTCTTTGACCATATGGATATGCCATCGACGCAACCATCTGTGCAGTTTTCATTTGACACGATGGCTTCAAGCTCCAGGGGGAGGCATTTGACTGCGAGCTTTTTCGATTTTAACGTCGATATGCCTTCCAGTTCAAGGGGAAGGCGTGCAAGTAGTATGTTCTTCGACCTAAATATGGAGATCATGGAGGAACCATCATCTCCACCAGAAGAACCGCTTCGTGAGCCTGGTGAGGATGGTGCTGAGACTGGACTATTATTCACCCAGAATCACCGCAATTCAACTCCGATGATGATGAAGTTCCAGGAAATGTGGCACAAACTGATCTTCCTGCACACATGTATGAAGTTGATTATGGTGTAATGTACGGGTCAGAATTTGCGGATATGCCTCATCTCTGTGACTATGGATATTACTCATCAATAAATAATGGTGAGTTATCTTTAGGCATGGAGTTTTCAAGCAAAGAAGAAGCGATGATGGCTATAAAAAATTACAATATCTGTAATTCTGTTCAGTCCAGAGTCAACCGATCAACGACCGAAAAATATGTATGCTATTGTGCCCGACGCGAAAACGGATACAATTGGATGGTTCGTGTATCGAAAATGAAGAGGAAAAACAACATATGAGAACTAACAGTATACAACGGTCCTCACACATGCTGTGCTGGAGGGGTCAACCAAGATCATCCCAACTTGGACTCTGAAGTGATATGCCAAGCCATCATGCCCATGGTAAAAGCAAGCTCTCATATAGCTGTTGCAGTGTTGATTTCAGTTATACAATCGCAGTATGGGTACACCGTCTCCTATAAAAAAGCTTGGTTGGCAAAACAAAATGCCATTTTCAAACTTCATGGCGAATAGAATGCATCTTATAACGAACTTCCAGGTTGGTTTAGGCTGGTGCAGACGTTGAATCCTGGGACAATTGTGGACTTCGAAACCTCCTATGCATACCATAATGATCGAGTTCTTCGCGATCGATGCCAATTCTACCGGGTTTTTTGGAGTTACCCACAATGCGTTAATGTTGCCAAATACTGCAAGCCTGTGGTCCAGATCGACGGGACTTTCTTGTATGGAAAATACAAGCAAGTTTTATTATTGGCAGTTGTCCAAGATGGCAATCGCAACATTCTTCCAGTTGCTTTTGCTCTTGTCGAAGGAGAAGATACAGATTCTTGGGCTTTTTTCCTCCGAAATTTACGTGCACATGTTATCATGAGGGAAAAAATCTGTGTCATTTCAGATCGCGGAGCTGGGATCAAAGCATCAATGGAGTCTTTGGGTCCAATGTGGCAACCACCCTTTGTCCAACATAGGTATTGTCTCCGATACATTGCTACGAACTATCATGGAAGGTACAAGAAGAATGATGAGCGTTAATTAATTGTGCGCATGGGTAAGTGAAAGCAAGTTAGTAAGTTATACATTTTTTGATCATTTTAATTTTGCAAAGAAAGCAAGTTAGTAAGTTATACATTTTTGATCAGGTTACAAACTACTTCCTCGAACATTTGAATCAATACTTCAAGATTTGCGGGCGAAGAACGAGGAAGGATACGATTACATCAGCCTCATCGATAAAGAAATGTGGACGAACGCATATGATGGTGGCTATCGATATGGACACATGACGACCAACTTGGTTGAGGCAATCAATTCAACCTTAAAGGGTGCATGTCACTTACCTGTAGCGGCTTTGGTAAAAACTATATATTTTCGTTTGGGGGAGCTTTTTGCAAAGCTCGGGGGACAAGCTCAAACCTGGATGCAAGGCGGTCATGTCTATCACCCTAGATTAGTTGCAGATCTACAGAAAAAAATTGCTGCATCAAATGGAATGTCTGTAACAAGCTTATCAAGAAGGCATGAAATGTTTCATGTCACAGAGTTTCCGTGACCTCTTCAAGGGATTGAAGCTGTGTCGTTAAGAGTAAATCTAAGGGACAGAACGTGCGACTGCGGGTTTTTTCAATCTCTGAAGTATCCATGCTCTCATGTGATAGCAGCTTGCTCGCATACACATCAAGACTATAACCATTTTTGTGGATCTCGTATACCTACTATCTGAAGTTTTTAAGGTATACGAATTTGAGTTTCCCCCCATAGGTAATGACAAAGACCCTGATAAGGTTCAAGATTGACTTCTGATTGTACCAAATCCGAGTTTATTGAGGGAGCGTGGTCGTCCAAAATCCAAGCGAATTCATTGCGATATGGATATTCGAGAAAGATCTAGACAATACAGAATATGTGGCCATTGTAGAAACCCAGGACACACTAGAAAAACATGTCCACTTCTGTTGTCATCAAGTAACAATTGATGAGAAAATGATGTATTTGTTTATCAAATAATAATTCTTGTATTTTAATTTGCATTTACTTCAAGTTAATGTCATTCGATAATCGCTAATGAAGATTAAAAAAACGAACACAATCATTAAATTTTATCAAACTAATAACAATTTGGTATTTAAATACAATAAACTTACAATAAGAATTAAATGGTAAATGATAACCAAATTATAATAACTGATATTAAATGGTAATAAACAAAATTAACTGAAATATATTAAAAAAAGTCCAACAAATTTAACAAAATAAAGTAAGTATTAAATGAGAAATAATAACAAATTACAATTAAACAAAATAAAGTAAATACAAATATAATAAAAAAATCTATCGATGCTTGCGTCGCGAATGTGTTCCGCAGGGCGGTGGCTGTCGGTCTCGAGGAGGATTTCTTCGTATCATTGGTTCTAACTCCTCGCTGTCATCATCATCGTCGTCGTCGTCCTGAGCAGGTACATTAGGTTGATGAGGACCTGATGATGATGAAGCACCTCCATAGAATAAGGACCCTGGAGGTGTATGACTGACTATCCCACCGGCCTGCGAAAACTAGGAAAACCCAGACATCGCTGAGTGTGAAAACTGTACAAGATGTGTTTGTGCTGCGGCCATGGGTGATGAGGTTGAACCCGCCAAATATCCAACATATGAACCCCAAGTCAGCTCTGCAAATATAGACCCATAATAGCCTCCAGGAGGGGTCATCTGTGACGGTGGCGGGGTCATAAAACCAAGTGAAGGCGGCGACGGTGACATCTGGTAATGGAAAGGCGATGACGGCATCATATATGGTTACGACATCATATATGGCTGCGGTGGCTGCTGGGAAGGTCCAGCTGGTACAGCTGAGGATGAACCGGAAGCACCTGCTCTCCGTCCACGAGTCAGGGGACGATGGTGCTGTGTCGGTGAACGTCTCTATCGACGTCGTGGAAAGGTATGCCCTCGTGCATCCTCGGGAAGTAGAAACGGTTTCCCGTTACTGTTGAACCACTCATAATAATCCTCAGCATGCATCAAGAAGTCATTAAAAATGGGCTCTCTACGTGGAAGGTGCCGATGTCGATCCTCCCACAACACGACCCACTCATGATGCCTCACCAGCCAATCTGTATCTGTCTTGCCGCGTCTATCTAAGCTATGCAACTCGTCCATATTGCGAGGTGCTTCCGGAATTGGTTGAAACAACCAAACTGCCAGAGCACGCGATCAGTGGAGTGCCACTCGACGGTCGCATAACAGATCAGAGGGACCATCGCCATCCAAACATCTGATGGACCCCTCAACTCAGGTGGGATCACCGCCCTCACATCATCAGTAGAATATGACACTCATTCAAACTAAAATAAATAATATATAATTTTTATCAAAATAATAATCTAATTATATAACTATAATCTAAAATCGATTTTTAAACATTAAAATTCATACCTGTGTGCCAGCCTTCTGATCGATTAGCACCCTAATTTTTTCTAAATCATCAGGTAGCTCCTGATGATTTTTCCTATCAGTAGACCACCTATTCAAGGAAAAAAAATTGTTATACGCTGTATAAAATTATTAATATACAAAATCAGTTTTATAATTACCTCAGAAGTAGTGGAAATACAAATGGGTTCTTCACAACAGGACATAAAAAGGGCAATCGATACCATGCCCAAGACTGCAGCAGCAGGAGACATCCGCCGATAGCATTACGTCTGTAGCCAGTGGCTCCATACATCTCCCTATACAGCAAAGCCAAAACTGCCGAGCCCCAATTGAATGATCCGGCGAGACGAAAGTCGCTAAGTAATCGCAACCACATGCAGTGAACTAGGTTGCACGATTTGTCCGGCATCAGCAACCCTCCTATCAACTGCAGTATGCATGCTCGTGCATACATCTTAACCTCATCCTCAGAGGCGTCTGCGCTCAACTCCCAAAAATTGGCATCTAACCAATTTAACGGTATCCTATATCCAATAAAATTTTCCGGGACACGTCCTAGACTATCCCGACACAAAATAGTCCAAGAACCGGAAACTATCCCCGATATCACATCTCCATCCACCGGAAGCCCCAGGTGCATAGAAACATCCTCAAGCATGATCGTGCACTCTCCGTACGGAAGATGGAATGTGTGGGTCTCCGGCCTCCACCGCTCTACTAAGGCAGAAATCAGGTCTGACTCTATCTTACAGTGACCCTGATATCTACCTATGTAACCGAATTCAGCCTCTACTAAATACGGCAAGACACAGCTGGGTATCACTAACTTAAGATTCCTAATAAAAGGATATAATACACGGTCATTCTCCAAAAAATAAATAATTACAAAAATTAATTCTTACTCTAATAATCATGCATTAAATAAATCAACTAATTATTACTAATAATTTAAATTAAATTAAAACGTTAAAATGTTACCGTATCAGCAAAGTGTCGAGATATTTAATTCTTAATCTAATAATCATGCATTAAATAAATCAACTAATTATTACTAATAATTTAAATTAAATTAAAACGTTAAAATGTTACCGTATCATCAAAGTGTCGAGATATTTAATTCTTAATCTAATAATCATGCATTAAATAAATCAACTAAATATTACTAACAATTTAAATTAAATTAAAACGTTAAAATGTTACCGTATCAGCAAAGTGTAGAGATATATGATTTCCATCCGAGCAAAGTAGATCGCCTTCTATTATATATCTGCAAAAGAATTATATTAGTAAAATATTAAATAAAGTAAATACATAATAGTAAAAATATTATAAAATATACCTTAAAAAGATAGAGTATTTGAGAGAAATTTAGAGAATTTGAGAGAATTTGATGTGATAAAAGTGATTGATGATGGAGGTATTTATATGGAGGATGAGGACGTGAAAGGTTGGGTATTTAGGGGTATAGCACGTCTCTTGCACCGCGCTATACCCCACGTGTCAGATACCTAGGTATAACGCGGATCAGGGGGCGCGCTATACCCACGTGACGTCAAATCAGCGTATAGCGCGGTTCAGGGGGCGCGCTTTATTACTACGGGTGTTAGATCGAGAAATATAATCTAACCTGTGTTAGATCGATAAATATACCGATCACCGATGATTTATTGGAAAAATTGCCGTTATGTGATATCATATGTCACAATTCTTTAGTGCCACTTGTAATAAACTTAATCACGTTTCAAAACTACCAAAACAGTTCCCCGAAAGCTTAGAAACTATGTTTGGTAAAAAAAAAAAAAAAACTTTGAAGAAGGTGCTAAATTGAGAGGCCAAATGATAACTAAACCTTCCCAAAAGTATAATTTAAATCTAAGCAATCTTAAGCCGATCTGACCTTCTGCTAATTAAACTATTTTGTCAAACTATTTTATTTAGGACAACAGTGAAGATGACTGGATAACTAGGTACTTCTTCACAGGAGGTACAATGCCTTCTGATAATCTTATTTCCAGGTAAGATCTCTATTTGGCAATCAAGACCTTGTACCTTCTTTACATCTCATTTATGCTACGAGTTCTGAATAACACACTGCTTCCTGCGCTTATGTATCAAAGAAAACAACAGGCTTGAGCCTTTTTGTCCGTCCTTTGTATGCAGGATGATGTTTCTGCTGTTAATCATTGGCTTGTGAATGGGAAACATTATGCAAAAACTAGGTGAGAGCAGTTCTTTTATAATACCAACTTAAAAATTCAGTACCAGTTTATATTATCTGCACTAACTTTTTAACCTTTCTGATTCTTCCTGGAGAAACACTGAACTGTGAGGCTTACCTATTTCTTTCCATGTTACGTATATTGCAGTGATGAGTGGCTGAAGTGGATGGACAAAAACACGACTGCCATTAAGTCAATAATGGAGTCAACATATGGCAAGGACCAGACTGTGAAATGGACTGTTTATTGGCGAACCTTCTTTATCGCTGTTGCAGAACTCTTTGGATATAATCGGAGAAGAATGGATGACTGCACTTTTCCTATTCAAGAAGAAATGAAGCCCTCTCGATGCTCCTTTCCTCCTTAAATAAGACAACTCTAGAATTGCTGAATTCCTACCTATATAAGTCACAAGTCTTGTTCTATTGAGAAGATGAATGCATTTTGATTTTGTACTTTGTACTGAATCGAAACAATGAATCAAGAACCAAAACTTCTTCGCCATTATTGGTTTTTGGACACCACACCCCCAACTGGGTTTCCACTATTCTATTTAAAATGGAACCAGCAGCATCTTCAGATTCCAAGGAGCCTGCCTATGACAGAATCACGCTGTATTTACACAAACCTAACGCCCGGGAAAACATTAACTAACAGTACGTGATTCCTTGTGGAATTACAGACACAATGTCCACCATAAGAAATTTTATGTTTTCTTTTTTAGATTTAAAGTTAGTATTTACAATTTATTATTTAAACTTTACTGTTTTTAATTTAACACTTAAGATTTAATATTTATATTTTAAGATCTAAATTTTATATTCTAGAGTTTATGATTTATATTTTATAGAAAATTAGGTATATATTTTTATTATACGAAGATGATTTTTAAATATTAAGACAACTTTTGGAATTAAATTAATTATAAATATGAGTGAAAAGTAATATTTTTATAATATTTATTATTTTAATGTTTGTCTTTCCTATAAGGAGCGATGAACTGTTACCTAAGTCGAACCCAAACTCAGTTTAGGCGATAATTTTCCAGTAGAGTTAGGAATTATTAGGATACGGTGCTACCAGCCCCATGCTATGATTCGTAGAAAGGGATCGTCTGCCGTCAGATCGGTACATATAAACAATTATAAACCAGGAATCCAGGATTAATGATCCACGACTTATGAGACGCCCATGCTATTTATTACACCTGTCGTTATCCTTTCTTCCATATCTAGCAACCAACCATTACTGTAAGAAACTTCAAGCGGTTCTAGTCTCAGCAGAAAGAAAAGTTGAAGGATCAATCAAGCAGAGGAAAGACTTTGGTGATGGAGAGTCTAATGCAGGTGCCTTATGCTGCTACGGTGCGGCTCATGTTGAGTTCCTTGGAGCGCAATTTGTTGCCTGATGCTGTTATAAGGAGCTTGACTCGGTTTCTCTTGGCTAGTCGTCTTCGCTCTGGTTATAGACCCTCTACTGAACTCCAACTCTCTGAGCTCCTTCACTTTGCTTATTGTATGTAATCATTCTTCGATAGATGTCATCTTTTTTTTTTCTATTTGATTCGGTTTCACTTAATTATGGTTGTTGCTTTGTAGCCTTAAGGGAGATGCCCATAGCTATCAAAACAGATGAGCCTAAAACTCAACATTATGAGTTGCCAACCTCTTTCTTCAAATTGGTTTTGGGGAAGAACTTCAAATACAGGTATTGAAAGTGTTTGAATTTGTGGTACTGTTCTTGTTGGGTAACATAGTTCCCCCCCCCCCCCACCTTATGGAACGATGCAGTTGTTGTTACTTTTCTGATGGGTCAAAAACTTTGGACGATGCCGAGGAAGCAATGTTGGAACTTTACTGTGAAAGGTCCCAATTAAAAGATGGTCACACGGTTCTTGATGTCGGCTGTGGATGGGGTTCACTTTCTCTTTACATTACCCGAAAATACCCCAATTGCAAGGTTACAGGGATTTGCAATTCCTCCACTCAAAAAGCTTTTATAGAGGAGCAATGCCGGTAATGCTCTCTACTTGCTGAATGAAAGTAATATTCCATGTTAATCACTTTGATTTTTGTTACCCTTGATAGGGATGGAGAATTACAGAATGTGGAGATCATTGTTGCAGACATAAGTACATTCGAAATGGAAGGATCATACGACAGGATATATTCAATTGAAATGTTTGAGGTCATTGATTTTGTTGTCAGCCACTGCTACTACATACAGGTTTAATGTTGATAGTTTGAAAATTGATACTGTCTTCTTTTAACAGCATATGAAGAACTATGAGGCTCTTTTGAAGAAGATATCAAAGTGGATGAAACAGGATAGTCTTCTTTTTGTTCATTATTTCTGCCATAAAGCATTTGCTTACCACTTTGAGGTATGCATATAGACTGATTGTGCTGAGAAACACTATTTGTAATTTCTAGCATAGGTTTACGCGTAATTAGACATCATATTGTTTTCAAAAATATGTTTTAAATGCAAGGGATCGTATCTGATCTAACAATATCTTGTCAAACTACTTTGTGTAGGACATAAACGAAGATGACTGGATAACTAGGTACTTCTTCACAGGAGGTACAATGCCTTCTGCTAATCTGCTTCTCTATTTCCAGGTAAGATCTGCATTTTGCATTCAAGACCTTGTAGCTTCTTTAAATCTCATATATGCTATGAGTACTGAAAATTGAAATTCAACAGCCATAGGTTGTGATATCATACTGCTTCTTGGCTTATGTATGAAATAAAAATGACAGGACATGATGCCTGTTGCCCAACCTTTCAAAGGAATATGCTTATTTGAGACCTTTCGTTCATCCTTTGTGTGCAGGATGATGTTTCTGTTGTCGATCATTGGCTTGTGAATGGGCAACATTATGCACAAACAAGGTGAGAGAAGTAGTTTTATAATACCAACTCAAAAATTCATTACAAATCTGATTTTTCCTGGAGAAATACTGAACTTTGAGGCTTAACTATTTCTTTCTATGTTAACAATCTAGACATTCTCAGAGAACTGTTTTATATTGCAGTGAAGAGTGGCTCAAGAGGATGGACAAAAACTTGGCCGCCATTAAACCAATAATGGAGAAAACTTATGGCAAGGATCAGGCTGTGAAATGGACTGTTTATTGGCGAACGTTCTTTATAGCTGTTGCAGAACTCTTTGGATACAATAATGGAGAAGAATGGATGGTTGCACTTTTCCTATTCAAGAAGAAATGAAGCCCTCAATGCTCCTTCTCCAAGCGAAATCTGTTAGGGCAACTTCGTCTTCACTGGACTCATACCAATCAATAATGGAGGAAATGGGTGAAATACATTTAAATCGGTGTTTATTTGGATTATAATGGAATGAAAACCATTCAAGTGCAAAAGGAAGGCAACGTAGATAAACATTAACACCTATATTTCCACATGTACCATGCACTATGAGAAAGGAAGCACCTTACATGGCCAAATTGATCACTTCTAAAACCATATGTATTGGCCGGCTTATTGTGCTACAAAAACTAGAATCATCTAGTCACAAGCAATCACTGGATTCAGCCAATGGAAATGATGAACTGCACCTCTATTATCTTCCACATTTCCCAACTTTTATATAAGCACCATGGGTTGAAATAATACAAAACAAATACCTCCCTGAGTTATTTTTTAAACTTGGAGGTTCAATGAATACAATTTCCCCTGGTGTTGATTGCTTGGAATCGATATAACCTCCTAGGTCCTACAGCACAGCTAAGATTTACAATAACCAGAACCTCACATGGTTTACATCAAGACTCTTAAAACAATGGAGAGGTGCTAGAATGGTGCATGTTCCATATATTGTACATCCGTACATGAGAGACTGATACTGTCGTAAAGCCTCCTCCCCCTTGAATAACAAATGGGAAAAACTATATCGAAGCATATGAAAATATGTCATATAGCAAGACTAAAGATCGAAGACGGTTGACAGATCATCATCATGTCTTACTCTTGAACTTCCTTTGAGCTTTCAGGTCGACCACAAATACTGTGATATTGTCCTTGCTTTCTTTTTGAAGAGCTCGGTTTGATAGGTATTCTGCTGCAGATTGAGTGGCCAGATCGATTGTCTCGCCCTTTTCTGAAGCAAGTCTAACACCGTTCTTTCTGAAGCGAGCTAGGTCACATGCTTCTTCATTTGACATTACATCCCATGGACCATCACTGGCCAAAATGAGGCATTCATCTTCTTTCACTCTTGGAATAAACATTACTTCTGGATCTGGAATGATCCATGGCTTCAAATACCGATCACCTGAAGAAACAACAGGAATGGTCATTCTCAAATCTTTTTTAATCATAACTTGAATCCTATCCGAAGACAACATGATTCTTAGGACAAATCCTTGTTAGAGAAGAAAAATGACACCATTGTTCTATCAATATCATAGAAGTTTAATACTCAAAATGAGACTTCTAGATCAGTCAGAACACATTGTTTCATCATGCAAGATTTGATCAAGAGAAAAGCAAATTGCACAGATATGTACAATCTAATGCTCTAACATTCATCAAACTTATCCTAGGGGTTACAATTTCTTCAAACCAAGTTGACAACATTTTATTTATTACAAAACAGATAGACCTTTTGAGCAGTTTAGGCGCAGAAACACAAAAGAAAAAGCTCTACACAGTTCAATAAGACAAAAAAACAGATACTGCATGCATCACAGCCATAAATAAGTGAAGACTTTGACACTAGGCAAATCCACAGGAAATATGCCAGAAACTAGAGTAAAAAGTTCA